GGGGGGGGGTCAGGTTAGACAGTTCAAAAATCCGCCCGGGGGAGCACTAAAACAGACAAGACATAGCTTAACAAAGAACTAACAAAAAACCAACTACCCAAAACACGCCGTGCCCCAAGGCCGGCGGATTTTGGGGTGACAACGAGTCGGTGTCAGATGTCCCAAGCTTTCGCTGAAACTGACAGATGTTCACCAGGTTGCAAGGCGAGGTCAGAGATTTATGCGAGAACCAATAAAAGTTTGCCCGACCGGGCAAATAGTTCTCCTCCAAGTTTGAAGACTTGACACATTTGCATTTGCACACACAACAGTTCAAACATGTTCAACTGGCGGATGTTTCCCACGTGAAATTTCCCCCCATAGCCAGGCCCAAACTCGAGAAGACTGACTGTTGGACGGGGACCACGAAACCGTGACTCGATTCATCCGCATGAGGCGGTCAGCTGAGCTGACGCAGCTGACCGATGTTTGAAAGGAAAGTCGGGCAGAAGCGTTGTAGAAACACACCATGAAGAGACACACACACACAGCCCAGCAGAAAGACACAAAGCATCACAAAGCTAAGCACATGTTTTCCCTTTATTTTACAGAAGAAGACATCATGTGGTCTGGTCAACCCATGTCAACGCAACCGTTGCGTTCGGCTGAGGTAATGAACGACTATAGAGGAGTCCTCAGTGCGTACCAATATGGAGACTCCTACTTGGTCTTGATCCTTGACGCATGGGGACACGCTGACGTTTTTTTCCTTCTCGACACCGGTGTTGTTCAACGACACCAAAGGTTCCGAACATGGACCCTGCGAAAATAAACGTCCTGACCTTTGGATGTTTCTCAAATTCAACCGTTTGGCCTTTTGGTTGCCTTGTTTTTGGTCAAACACGTGTAGACTCAAACAAGTTGCGGCATTAGTGGATCTGTGGGGAATTCATCCGGGCTGATCCCCAGGCTCCAGGCTTCTCGACGGACTGGAGGGGGGTCAGGACCCACCATTCTGTTTCGACCAGTGTCTGGCGGTGTCGATTCCATCGGCAGTGCAACCGTGACTGACAAGTTCAGTTTTTCTGTGGCCGTTCGTATCCGCCCGTCTCCTTTTTTGCAGGGGAGGCTCCAGATTTCTGGGTAGCAGAAGCGCGAGCTGGGCGGGTTTAACCGCTTTAGCCCACTGGACTGAACCAGCTCCAATGTCCGAAATTCGAGAAACGCGCGCGTGCGTGTGTGGCTCTGTGCGTGTATGGCTCCCAACCTTTTGCCGAAAGAGCATACCTTTTCCGTGAGAAGGTCAGCGAAAGCCAAACGAAGTGGTTGCAGCGTTGGTAATTGAGTCTTTTTAGGTTGCGCTGCGTGAGGACTTGTCTAGGCTCTCCTAGTTCGAGCTGTGTCGATCTGGTCACCACTTGTCCAATGAAAGGTTGATTCTTCATATTCTTCAAGGGTACCCGCGGGTAAACTCCAGAGTGGAGTTCTGCCTTGGCCAACACATTCTAGACAGACGACAATGATATCAAATAATTGTTTAATTTATGTATTTTCCAGGTCATGTTGGAATTCATATTTTTCTTCCATTCTGCCAATCAAATTCGCTTGCGCCCAGGAAGGACGTCCGCTTGCGCACCACCTTTGCCGCCACCGACTCAGGGGGCATTGCAGGACACTCGTCGGCTCTCCTTTTCTGATTTTCAACAAATGACCCCTCCAAAGATCGGATCGGTTTCTGTCTTGGGTTTGTCCCATGACCTGTGACAATCGGTCAACATTTATCACTATTCTAGAGAAAGGCCTGGAACCTAACTGTCATCCACTGGGCCCTGGTGATATATATATATATATATACCCAAAGTACCCAAAGTACGCAAAGTATACAGTACACACACAATCACATATATATATATATCGGTATATAGCTATATATTCTGAATTCTTAATTTATACATACAAAGTACATATATACAATATATATATATATATACATCCTTAGTTTTGAGGCAGGTTCAGCAGCTTTGAACTCCTTTGAATCGCTTCGAGAACTCAAGGTATCGACGAACTGGCCAATCCATGGACCGACCTGCTGCGTGTCCTGCGGGGCAGCTGGGTCGATGACCCATCTTGCTAGGGAGCAGGTCTCTAAAGCATCCACACATATCCACACATCAGGTTTGATCATTTTTGCCCAGACATCTTCCAGTGGAGGGGAGACGAATCCTCCGTCGCCCCCGTATCAACCAAACAATAGAGAAGATGGGTGTTGGTCCAAATTTCTCTTCTCGCTCCAAACTACACGGGGCGTCTTTCGGGAGACCGTGGCCCGAAACATGGGACAAACGCTCTGGTTGCGAGGATCAAGACTGGCTGTGCTGGACAAGTACGCTCATGTGCTCCAGGAGTACGATGATCGCGAACTTCGGGAGCTGGTCGAGGCCGCTCCAGTGGCCGTTGTTCAAGTGGTAACAGAAGGTTTGTGAGAGAAAACATGGAGGCATGACAAACTTTCAACAAAAGGCCTGATACTAGGGAGGTCCTGAAAGCCGTTGTCCAGCAGTTTTAAGCAGAAGTCATTCCCTGCGCACTTCAAAGGAGGAACGTGTGGCACACTCAAACTGTTTCGTGCAATTTTGTGTGCAGGTGCTGGTCTAGTTGTCTCCTTTCCAACAAAAAGTTTGGGAACCATTCAGAGTGACTCTTGGAGCACCCCCAAAGCCCAGAGACGCTCCACTCTTCAGAAGGATTCGGAACTCCACTGCTGCTTCAGAACTTATCTTTTCAGAGACCCAAACTTGTTTCAGAGACCTAAACACAGGGTTTGCAACTGGCAAAGGTGGCTGTCAGTGGCTTCGTCTTAACTTGCTGTCAGATGGATGATGACAATGACAACTGCAGGTTCCTTTTATCCTCCAAGCCAGGTTTTGCCCACATGCACCGGGATTCATCCGCAAAACCGACGTGGAGTCCTCGCACCGTGTGGACCGTGTGGACCGACCACGCACCGACCGACCAGCGCAGGTGGCCTTGGCCAATACCTCGCTCACCGACGTGGGCGTCTCTCAGCCCCGGCTGCTGCGTGGCATGAGCTCCGACTGCGCCGCCGAGTGGATCACGCCGCTGGGGTCCGAACGGAGCACACCCCCATTGGGGGGGGGGGGGCCGATCCCGTTGGAGTCCGGTGGCGCGAGCCGAAAAGCACGCTGATCAGTGATCAGCTACGAAAGGCTCTGCTTGGGGCCTGAGCTGGAAGGCCCCATGCATCCGTTCACACTTCCATGTCTATACTTATATACTGTAACTTAAGTGGCAATCAAATCTAGCTTTGTTTTGGATCCTTGTCGACATATTTCGCCACAGCACCCAAGATGTTACAATGCAAGTTTTGGATTCAAGCTGAGGCCGATCTTGACTCAGCCTGAAAAGCGATACAGTCTCTCAATTGGAGGAATTTTGCCCACGTCATTTTGAGAATGCTTCATATTGTTGCTCTGCCCTCAGGGTAGGCTTCCCAGACTTGCCGCAGAAGAAGGGCCGTGCCCTGGCTTTGGTATGGGCGCCACCATGGTTGGGTGGTTGGGCTAGTGAAGTCCACTTCTCTGCAAATAGTGGGTCGGAAAATCTTTCGTTTCCAGTGTTCAGCTGGTGTTGGGCTGACAAGATAAACCAGTTTGATCTATGTTCAGGACACGTTTAACATGCTTATATAAAGGGCATTCGCCCAAGTTGTCCAAGAGGATTCAATCTTGTTTTGTCCTTCCAACACAACAGTATGGTTGGTCAAGTGAGAGTTTTCTTTGAGTTTGAGCACACTTTTTGAACTGTTTTGGGGTGGTTTGTGGGCGTGTGTGTGTGCATCAAGATGATGTCTTTCCATGCCAGGGTACCTCACCCACTGTTTGTACTACCAGGCTATCAAGGTCTTTAGGATGCTTCACCTCACACACGCGCAGATGCGGCATCTTAAGGTTTCATTTAAGTTACCGCAAAGGGGATAATAAAATATCATATAACAGACTTTGTGGCAATTCCCACGCTGTCCACCGTTTTGCTAGATAATATGCTGCATCCTGAACTCAGAGGCTTGGCTGATTGTTAGGGGAGTAGACATGACGGCTGAACTCAAGGGCTGAACTGAGTTTGATTGACTCTTGGAGAGAAGCTCAGTTTCAGTGATATTTTGATGCAAAAACAGGTGGGTTTGCCATCACAGGTATACAGAGACCCTCCAACGGAAACGGATTCATATGTTTCGTCTCATTTGCCGTGGCCTCTTGACACAACGGACTCGACATAGCAAAGGCTCTGTAAATGTCATGAGGCATGCCTAGTATAGTTGATTGAATTGTTGAAGAGTAGAAGCTTTGCACACCGCCTCGGATACACCCTGGTGGTCAAGAAGTCCACCATTACAACCGGGGAGTTCAGAACGGCCGAACTAGGTGCTGGGTGGCAGGATTTTACCGTTTTGTCTCAGTAGGTGACCTGTACCTATGAGGGCACGGTTAAGAAAAATAATGTAATGTGTTGAAGAACTTTCGAGGCTACTACTTCGAGGTGGAGCTGCTTCGTGGCTGCCGATCGGCACAAGTGGGCTTCCTCTCCAACCAGTGACCCGCCAGCAACCTACAAAACAGTGGTCTTGGTTTGAGCTATAATTGCCCCCTACTCCTTCAACACTTGAGGCATCGTCAACATCACCATTCTCTATAGGAATAGTTTGGGATAGACCATGAACACCCAATGACTATGCCTGCTGTCAGGTTTATCATCGCGCCCAAGACGGTGGGCTACAACGGGGGTGTGGGTGATGATGACTATGGCTGGGGAGTGGATGGACAGCACGCACTTCGAGGCTAAGCGGCAACTTTTTGGGATCGGACCAACATGGAACTAGAAACACGGATTTGCAAATCAGAGACATTGGAGAGCTCTGCACAAAAAGACCTTGGCAATGTGGTTTGCAGGAATGCACATGCGAAAAGATGGAGTCCATCAGAGGGGGTCTTCTTACCTTGCCAAAAAACTTGTCAACGGACTGATTTGACTCAGCAATCAGAAGTCTGGGATTTTTTCAATGCTGTTTCTGGGGCTGTCCATGGTCATAGCTGTCCATCTAGACAGACGCGTTCAGCTGTGATGGTCGTTAGCGGGTCTGTGCATTCCAAAATTGTGGCACGGAAGGGAAGCCATGGTTCTTTAAAGACCAGTCACGAAAGGTAGCTTGAGCTACCTGAGTTCTCCTTGCTTTAGCAAAAATGTATTACAATCAGGAGTTGGGATTGTGCATTGAATTTGGTCCTGTAAGAGTTGATTCTGTTCGTCGGGGGGGGGCCTGGATCAAATCCCCCCTGCGCCGGTTCACGCCGTCATGGACTTCTGATTGCCTGCTACCTTTCGTTCACCCCCTCCTCTCTCAAGTACTCTTCACCTTATGGTGATCGATTGGTGGGACTGGATCTCGCACAGGTTGAACACCTGGGTCAAATGCTACTGCAGGTTCGGTAGAGCATTTCCTAAGATGTCAACAAATGGGCTAGTTTGTTTGGTTAGCATATAGCATGGTTGCTTGAAGATGGTTGAAGGGCTGCGATTGGCTCCAAGCACGTGGTCGTTTGACCAGTTGTGAGAATACAGGCTTTGGGGAGGACTCGGGCCATGAATCACGACACTCAGCAAATCTCGCACTGTTTCACGTCTTAAAGAAGAGTGTAGATGAGTATGTATATATATACAGCATAAAAGTATATAAGGGAAGAACATGTATATACATATATATATATATATATATTATATACATACACATATAAACAACGTATGTGTGGTCGCTTTCCTGTTTCTGAGGATGGCACGGTGGAAACAAGCTACCCTGGGACAGGCGACATCTCCGCGTGGCATGCAAACAGGGGCTGTTATGTAGAGGTAGGAGGAGCCTGATACTGAGATTGGCTGACATTTATATATAGGGCGGGGCATAAGGGGGGTTCAAGATTCTAGAATCTAGAAAAAAAGCGGCCGAAGTTGGCAGTTGGCCTCGCCCAATGTTATCCTGTGTTCATGCCGTGCCTGAAGAACCGCTTGTTACATCAGCTCCCGACCTGCCCCACTCTTACGTAGGCTTGCTGATAGAGCATTGCAGGGGCATTGCAGGGGCCAGGGTGTCAGGGGTGATGTGCTGTTGACGCATGTATTGACCCGCTTTCCAGACCACAAGTGCAGGAATGGTGTGTGTGTGTGTGCGTTTATGCTTCTTTTTGTTTGACGTCTCCGTGTCCGTGGTCGCAGGTATTGGTCGGTCTCGCAGAACGATCCCATGGAATTGGAGAAGGACCGGGGGGTGTCGGTCGGGTAGGACCTGTCCTGATCACTCAATCAGGAACGACGTGCAGTTCATCCCCTCAAACCTGTTGAATTTGTTCTCATTGCTTAATCAGGTTTTGAGGGATTTGTTCATCGAGACAGGTTTGGTCGAAGCATCAAATCAAAACCGAAGAACGGGGGTTGTTCTCCGAGGAATGGGGATGCGGGAAGGACTGGAGACCTTGGAAAATCTGGTGTTCCCACCAATTGTTCGGGGTGGGTCAGTTTCAGCAGCCTTAGAAGGACTTCTGTGGGTATCAAACCTCCTGAATGGCTTTCACGGAGTTTCCCCATAGACTCTACCTTTGGGCATGGCACGGAATGTGATGGAATACGATCGAACACGACCTTTTCCCTCTTGGCCCTGTTCAGAGGGCCACCTTCAGCAGGACATCACCGTGGGCGTGGCGATCGACATCGACTCGAGGATGCCACCTGACGACGGTCGAAACGCGTGGGTGGTCGAAACGCTCAAGCGCACTCTTCGTTGTCACTCCGGAGTTGTCACTCGTCGTTGGAGACTTGGATCGGTGAACTCATGCAGAAAGCCATTCCCAAAATACCTAGGGATTCGCAAAGGCTGTGGGGATTTGCAAAGCAGGTCGTCTCCAGATAGGGGAGATCCACTTCATGGAGATCCGAGATCCTGGTGAAAAGATCTTACAGGAGCCATTCCCAAAACACCGCTTCCGAGAAGTATTGCAACTGGGAACGGTTTCTCCAAGGGGTCTAAGCGCCCTAAATTTCTTATTCCAAGATAGGTATGCTTTGTCAATATAGGACCTTATGATTTCGGCCAACCTACGAATGGACCCCTCCGTCATCCCATTCTGAGAAGACGGACGGCAAGTGACGGACGGAAGCGTCGTCTTCCACGTTTAACAAAGCACTGATCTTGGTTCGAGCAAGTCACTAAAGTGGGCTTTGTGTATCCACTCTCTAAGACATGTTAATAACGACAATGACAACAACAGCAACGAGCAACAGCAACAACCATAATCACAACTACAACCACAACCACGACCACCATGGTCCCATGGTCTTAATATTATGGTTTCATGAACCTCATGAAACATCCGTGAGAGGTCCGCAGCTGGACGGGCATCTGACCACAACAAGTCCTCCACTCACGAGACCCACCACACCCTCCTGCCTTTTCTTCGGGCCGAACACCACGGGCGAAGCGGGCGAAGCGGGCGAAGCGGGCGAAGCGGAGAGTCGGGCGCCGTGCGAACCGAGGATCTGGTTCGCCTCGAACGGCGAGTGGGATGCGGAGAAGTCGCCCTCCTTTGGCCCAGAGACCATCCCCAAAGGCGACAAGCACTGGACGGACTGGCACGTTGGGACAAGCAGCCCTTTGTTTTTATGTTTTTGCCAAAGATACATATACCTTTGAGGGGTTGCTCAACTCCTTTGAAAGAATGCTGAGGTTCTGACTGGTTTTTCTCCGGTTGTGTAGAGATGTGTGTGGTGTGGGTTGCTTAGGTCCTAGGTCGCCTCATGAACGGCTGAGTGCTGAATTGCTTGGGTCATGTCCTGCGGTGTCTCCCCGGCTGTCCTGAGTGGAGCTGTCGGCTGAGGCTGAGACACCGTTTGGTTCGTTTTTAGTAGCTAAACGATGCTAAACGGCGTGACTCGTGAGTTTGAAGTTCTGCGCGCAAAGGCTCAATTAGGCCGACTTGCTTTTCTTCTGTGGAACTTTCTTTCGGGGTCTACGTTGGTTCGAAGCTTGATTGGGTGAGGTGATAGAGCTTCATCATATGGGTTTGTATTTTTTTGGCGTGTACTTCCTGATGTAGTGGTTGGAAGTTCGACTTGAGCGATTCATACCCTCGAATCATACCTCGAATCATACCCCCGAATCATACCCCTCAAAACGTTACACGTAAGAACCAGGTGTTAAGGTGAAGTTTTTGGTTGGTCTTTGTGCCTTGTAGATGTCCACGAGCCAATGGTGCATGACGTTTGCAATTGTGTGATCCATGGGCACTCAATTTGGCCAAAATTGTTTGTGTCTTCTTGTGGGACGAGCAAAGGCTCACATCCCAGGGGTACTCATAATGTTCCCATGTGCTGTCCCTTGAGAAGAAGAGCCAAAGGACCGCCTTCTTTTGCAGAATCTAATGGCCATACGAATCACACCCGATTCATGCCCGATTCATACCCGAATCACGCACCTCCACACAGTCTCCCACCCATCCCACATCCTGGTTGCTTTGGTGGGGCCTGCAAAGGGCCACTGGAGTCTTTGGTGGAAGAGTGCATTTGCCTAGTCTGCCCAGCATCCAACAGATGCTGATTGCCTACTGCCTCGGCGCAGAGTGGGCCCACTGCTGGAAGTCCAGCTAATCCAACAATACAACTTCAAAGCTGCGAATCATCTGCGAATCATACCCTCGAATCATACCCCCGAATCATACCCCGAATCATACCCTCGAATCATACCACCTGTTCAAACTTCCCGGCCCGACTACGGTAAAAAAATACACACCCATATTGTGCACCGACCCCACATGTCAATGCCGCCCAACGAATGTGGGTGGTGGCTTTGGCGGTTTTCCCTCACGGATGATGGCGATGCCAAAGATAGCTGATCCAGGCTTAGAGTTGGGTTCAGTACCAAGCTGGGCAAGCTCCCAGACAATGCCAGCTTCGCTGTGAAGGACAGTGCCAAATTGCGTCTCAAAGCCACCCGGCAAAGATCCAGCCAAAAAATGCTCAGCTGTAAGGCTGTCCAAGTCGACCCATCCAAGCAAACTTCGGGTGCCGCAACTTGTGACGTGTGCGACTTCACGAAATTCAGCGCACATTGAATTAAGAACAACATGGAAAACACATGCTATTTGAAAAACGACAGGCTGTTGGTTGAGTTTGAACTGGATGCATATTGTGGATGTTGCGGGGGTGGAGGTTGGGAGGTTAACACGTTCGATTCGTCCAATATGGGACATTTATTGCTAAGTGGCTTAACCAAAACCAAGCTTTGCAGACCAGATTGCATTGATTTAGTCCATGGTTGTCACAGTGAATTCATCAATCCAAGAAATCCCAAGACCGAAGCTGTTGGGCAAACACGTGTATTGTGCAGCTACAATGAACCTTTTTCAATATTTTTCCTATCAACCAAATTCTGAAAGGCAATTGTCGGCAACTGTCCAAGCTTGTGTTGGAACACCATGCAACGTGAACAAAACATTAACATGGCTTGACCATCTAACCTGCTCAAGTACCACAAGCGTGATTTGCTCCATAGAATGCCCTGAGTTTGCATACTCATGCCAAAATCAAACGCACCCGCCCATTTTGAAGGCTGCGTAGATTACACATTTTGTGAACAACTAACTATGGAGAACGCATGTGTTGCAAGTTAGCATGCCACAGTTGTATATGTAGGCGATTGGGCATGTGTCTCAATTTGGTGGGTGCTTGACTGGGGCCCCATGTAAGATGTTGGCACGGAATGTTGAATCAGAACCCATGCTTGGGATGGTGGACCAGACTCTAAGCCGGCTAAGCCATGCGGTTGTCCAACTGAGCGGGGAGCGGGGTTGTCGCCAGCTTTCAGGTAGGAGGTAGGGGCTGCTACATCCTTGTTTGTTCAGTGAAACTTAAGTCAATTGTTTGCGTGTGTTGCCAGCGGTACAGGTCAGATGCTCTATCCTGCAGTGTCTTTGAAGGGTCGCGCCTCCTTCAACTTCGGCCCGGAGTTCAAACACCCTGCGGCTTGGACGTGGAAGTCTTACCCTTGTCTCGGTAGGGGCGTGAGGAGGTCCCTATTGTATATTTTTGCACAGATGGTAGAGTTGGAGTGTCCGTTACTTCAACAAAATAGTTGCAAGATCTTGCAAGCACCTTATCAACAACCTTATCAACAGACAGTTCTCATAGTCTTTCTTGGTTTTACCTGCTTTGCTGTGTTCTTTCATGTTGTGCGCACTCTGAGGCTCCCAAATTCAAGGGTTTTGCAGCGTGGCCTGGCATGCCCGATGGCAAGGTGTGCCGGTGCACCGCGCGGATTGGCAGAGTGTTGATGGGAGGATTTCTTTGTCCGCAGATCGCAGGAGTGAATCGGTTTACAATTGGACAAGCATGGATCCATTCGATTGTGCTCTGCTTTCTTTTGAGATCTCGAGGTCACAGGTGGGACATAACCACCAAATAGTTGCAGTATGTTACAGTACATCGTTTTCTTCTTATGCCATGCCAATAAGTACGTCAAACGATCAACACGTCCTGAGAATCAACCCACACCCAGAATCAACCCAGTGAACACCGGGTTATTGTATGTTCTTTCGTAAATCAGGGGTCATGCACCTGGCCATTCTTGGGGCGCACACCTCTTTCGTTGGCAGCCCTAAACGGTGCAGCTGCGGAAAGCAGGTGCGAGCCGATGTGCCGATCATTGGGGATGAGAATAATGTGGGCATCTACAAGGAGCGACGGGTTGGTTGGACGGCAGCCACCAGCGCAGCATGCAGTCCTCCATTTTCGCCAGATTGCAATAGCATTCTCAGAGCTATGGGGTTCGGCTTCTGTTTTGGTCTATGCCAGTGTAATTTTGTCCACAACCTGATGATCCTTGCCACGACTTGTTGGATCTTCTTTGCTCAAGTGGTTAAAAACCATTTGGTCTGAACTCTGAACAGGAGATTACTCCCTTCCAATTATATATTAATGTTGCCACCCATCCCCCTTCTGTTGCAATAGAAAGATTTGGAAGCAGTCGCTAATGAAGGCAGGGTTTTGTGAAGGTTGGCTTGTTGAATCTGGTTGGCTTGTTGAATCTTCACAGACCTTTGTCATCCCTTGTCCATTACGCCAGGTGTATGTAAGACTTGAATGGCTGGTGGTGAAGGTCAACATTCGGGGATGTCGTCCATGTGCTGACGGAGTTTCAAGCCAAGAACGTGAGGTGAGCACTCACGTCCCCCCCTTGTCACGCGTGAGGTGAGGTCACGCGCGACAAGGGGAATGGTCTCACGGTCGATGTGAGGAGATTCAGATCCATGGAGAGGTGAGCCTCAAGAAGAACGTGCAACGGCTGGCCGCTGGGATAGCAGGGTAAGCGGGCAAGCTCAGCCACTCGCCGGCCTTGGGTCGGGGTGAAGCTCCCAAGATAAGGAAAGCAAAGGAGCTTTCAGTTGCAAGAATACTTTTTCCTTGAAAGACCTGGGCGACAACGGATTCAGTTTAAATTTGTGTTTGCAAATTGCTAGTCTTACTGTAGTATGTGGCGATGGGGATGACACGGAGTGCTACGTCGGCGTTGGCCAACAAAAACAGCTCGCAAGACCATGGCAGCAAAAACATGTCCATCCATTTGTTGTTAACTCAGCTATGTGTCATGTCAGTCGGATGTTCACCTCAGATGCAATGTGACTTGAAGCTTTGGTTGGCTCCCCGGGCTCGAGTTGACCTTTGCTGCTGTGACAAAGACACCCTGGCGCCTTGCGCAGTTGCAGCTTGTGGGTTCTTTCAGGGTCCATGCCAGTTGTCAGAAGTGTAACGATGTAACGATGTATCAGTTCACAAGCAACCACAAGCACGAAAAAGCAGCTCTGTCGAAATGGCATGAACTGGCCAATCATCCAGAATCACGTTCCTGCTCGGGGCATGGACCCCAAAAGCATCCAAAAGCCAAAAGAAACACACGTGTTTCGCTCACGCAAGAAGAAATGAAACCGAACCAAAACAACACGCAACACTATCGGATCTCCGGAGCATGAGCACCTTTTCGCCCCTCGTTCTTCGGACGGCAAGTACTTGGAAGTCCAGGTGGCGAACCGGAAGTACTTGGATCGCACCAAGGCGACGGTTGGACGGGTTGACAGAAGGACTTGGACTCTAGACGGAGGGCCAGCAGAAGGTGGACAAGAAGAAGGCAATCCTTCTCCTTCTCCTCCTCACGTATGGTATGTTTTGCTCCTCCTTAGCTATGGGTTCTATATAGGTGGTTCTCCATGGTTCTCCTCCTCTCGTATGTTGCCGGGTGGTTCTACTATGTTCTACTCCCACTCACCGATCTCACCGTCGCACCTCGGTGAGGACTCTCGCAGCTGGGCGGTGATCATCGATGGTCTTGGCGTGGCCGAGGGAACCTACGGCCGCACCGGTGCAGAGAAGGGCACCAGCGCGGCTTGACGAAGAGCTTTTTGGGAGTGATGGGAGCAGGTGAGCGAGAAAGGATGGGGAGACTGAGGTCCTGTGGTTTTGGTGTATGTAGAGTTCAAGAGCGAGATACTGTAGGAGTCTGAGCGAGGTAATGCATGGGTTTGCACGGACTATTTGCAGCATCAAGTCCAGGGTATATAGTGTTTTGTGGGTGCGTGACTTGACAGCCCGCCCCAGACTGCATCAGACTGCTGGGTAGTTGTTGGTCTTCTATTCATCACAGCCAGGCAGACAATGGGCACATGGGAAACAACCAGTGTTCAAAAAAGCATTTTGTCATCCGTTTTGGTGCCACGGTCTCATCATCTCCCCAGGTCTTCTCGCAGAGGCCCAACAAAGACCGATGGGCGCGCGATTCTTTTTTTTTTCCGGGAGAATTGCATCTCTTGACGATGGCGAGAAGTGAGAGTATGGAGTTGTTTTTTTTTTTTTTTAATGGTGCACATGGCGCCACATCTTGGTGTAGTATGTGTTTGTTTCAGTTTTGACACCTGGTTCTTTTGACACCTGGGCTTCTTCACACCGTTTCGGGGCGAAGACGTAACAGATGTGACAGAGCCTTTAGCCGCAAGTGCCCCCCAACCAGGTCCCGGGTTCTGTCTTAGACGATGTTTGACGGGCCGTGACGCTCCCCTGCCGCGGCCGCACTGGGCGACGCCTCATGTCGTGGCTGGGTGAAAAAGGGTTGTCAAGCCACAAGTCGTCGCCTCCCGAAGAAAACGCCAGCCTCACGTTGTTAGAAGATGCACCTTTGTAGCTTGTGACATACCTTTGAACCTTTCCATATCGTTTTTCTTGACCATGAATTTGCTAATGCACCAAATACACCATATCACCCAGTTTGTTTTGTTGAATCAAGTTCTCCCTCTTTCGCCCGCCCTCCAACGCTTTCCTTCCGCCAGGGGTGGCGATCATTTGCTGCTTTGTGACACTGCCAAGAAGATCTGGAAGGTGAGAAACGCAACTCCGAGGGCTGGAGGTCCCCCACAAGGAAAAAGATTGCTTTCGCAATTTCAATTGAACACTGAAGAAAATATGTTACATCACGCGATACTTGTGTCTTTTTTTCTTGCCTCCGCATGCATAGGCCGTAGGGCATATAGGACGTTGGTGGCTCCGTTCACCTAGGAAAAGGCCCCAGCCTGGTCGACTTCTGATGATCAATGAGGTAGCTGTTTCAAGTGGATGGTACATGGATGCACAACATTTAAAGAACATGAGCCACACAGTCTAGAGGGAATACTATAGCTGAAGCATGTACAGACCTTCCGTTTGTCGCAGCATGACCCTTGAACAAATTGCAGTTGCAACCAGCTGGAATTGTTCATGCCATCTCCCACCGAACAGAAAGACACCTGTTGCAGGTGGTCTTGACACAAAGACACACCTCTTCTTTGTTTTTGTTTCTCCCACGCCACGTCAACCGATTTCAGGTGGTGCACAAAGACAAACATGATGAGATCCTTGCTTGGTCAGCCATGGAGGAGTGAAGGGGCCATAGTCCTGTTGCCACCTGCTGGCATGAGGGTCACGCCCGAAACGAACATAGAAATCATAGAAATCATAGAGCTGAACCTGAAACCGTGAATGACTGGGTCAAATCCTTTTGGATGCGTTTTGGATGTTGCACAGTGAACACTGAACATCAATAGATGACACTGTGTGTGAACCTATGGCATCGGGCTTTGTGCGAAACCAAGGTCTTCTTCCAAAGCCCAGTGTTTATTTCTCCAGAAATGGATGTGGGTGGGCCAACACCAAAGCCCTGACGCACCATTGTTTGAGAATTGAGAGCATCACAAACTTCCTTGTTCATGTTGGGATTTGACATCCATGGTACAGTGGGCCAACGATGATTTTCCAAAGCTTTTTGGGGAGCAGGCTTTGATCCCAATCCCCAAGTCTGTAGTCTGTTCCCATTGCTCAGACAGCAGGGGTCTCCGAAGCTCTTTGTTTTTTGGACACTCGGAAGCTTTAGCTGGGTGCCATTTCTGTACCACAAAACTCGGGGGTGAATCAGCATCACCCAGGCGAATCGAGGCTTAATCAGGCTTAACACCCAGGCTGAAAAACACTCGGGGCAAAATCGGGTCTCGTCTTTGTGTGGCAGGTCTGAAGCGGTGGCAAATCATCCACCGATCCATTCGCGCCAGGAAGGCCGCACCATGGATCCTCCCCGTTCGGGATGGGAGGTGCCCTACGAGAGCCGAGGTTCTGTGACGCAGGCGGTGTCGGGAGTGGCGGCAGTTGCGGCGGTTGTTGTAGGTCAGCCACTACATACAGTATGTATATGATTGTATATGTATGTCTTAAGAATTTTTAAATATCAGTGAAGTATTGGTTTGTTTGAGGTTATTTTGCTTGTGCCACTAAGTGGGCTAACCCGCAGAGTGCTTCCAGAAGCAACAGACATGCAGTCTTACCAAGCGTGGTGTAGTGACAGTGGATAGAGTGAACATTAGTGAACTAGCTTTTCCGGCCCAAACATGCCAAAATAATATCCCTTTGAGTGGCACGGCACATAAATGCAACCTGCTTCGATAATTAACATATTTTTTGGGAGTTCTCACATTATGAACTCCTCTTGAAAGCTTCAGCACTTGCACTGGTTGTTGAATCCACTTAGGGTGTTTCATCCCCACCAACACAACCTTGGTCGATTTTCGGCTGACTCAACTCGGCACGTCATTGACGGGACCCGGCCGTCAGGATATCTTCAAGAAAGCCATGAAGGACTGGGCTGGCTGGGCCTTCCCTGGGTCGGGTCATTTGTGTGCTGGGTCGGGTCCATGGTTGGACACCGCCATGGAGAGTTGCCGTGTGGGTGGAGTGGGGGCCCCGGAAACAAAGCATCAGAATGGCTTCATTGAGCATCTTCAGTTGGCTTCGAAGGTGCACGACACGTGGAAAAACGTGGAATAATCCAAAGCCGGATCAAAAGGGTAGTGGTGGCCCATGGCGGTCCCTTGTTACTAGTAGCGTCCTTGCTAGTAGTAACGCCAGGAGCTACTAGTAGCGTCGTTGCCCCTTGCAGCGATGCCCTTTGTTACTAGTAGCGTCCTTGCTCCTGAAGCCAATAGTGTTTTTGAGACCACCCAATCGAAAAGGCAACCGTGGGACCTCATGGGGACCTCCACGAGGCCAGTGGCTCCCACAGATGAGGTGAATGCCTTTGTCCAGTGGCCTAACGTGCAGAGAAGATCGCTCAAAGGGTAGTTAGTAATTATGTGCTTGGGTTCCTGTTATCGCCATGTGACATGTGGCTAGTATGATACCATACACCTGATATCACATTTGTCGCACTACTACACAAGTGTACATATATATATATATATTCTCAGGTACGGTGCATCTCCACGTTCGATGACTCCCGCACGAACCGTGAACCGTGAACCCGCTGCCGCCATGCCAGGAGATCGGTCTCAGCGATGGGGAGTGTCACTTGGAGACCAGCCGGACCGGACAGTCCGACCACGTTAGGTCCACCGGGGAGAAGGAACTCGTTTTGGATCCGCCCCTGGTGAGGTCAATTGGAAAACAACTGCAAGACTTTGGGGAAAAATCCCTGCTAGGAGTCTACGAGTTATCCTGAATTGGGTGGAGAACTTTCGGTTGAGTGGTCTGAACATGATTGAACCACCGTCCGACATGCCTTTGTCGTGGACATGTGATGAGTCGTCTCAACCAAACTTCTCATACCGACCAATTAATCTAATACGTGCCAAAATGTGTGGTCGAACTGGGGATTGTCTGTATGCCCCTTTTGGGCAGCAGCTTCGGCAGTCTCGGCAAAAGCTTTGATCTCAGCTCAGGCAAAGCGTTGATCTCCGCCTTGGGAAAGAACTCCAAGGCCGGCATTTTATTTGGATGGCCAGCCGATGGATCATGCTTTCTAGGTCTGGGTCATGATTGGGTGAAGTGCGTTTAGTTAGCTCTCCCGCTAAGTGTGATGGTTTTCCAACCAGAAGCAACGGGATCGGCGACAGGCCATCAGAGGTTTCAACCTAAGAGCAATAGCCTCAAACCTAAGAGGGATGGCCTCCAACCTAGAAGCAATGGCCTCCAACCTAAGAGCGAGGGCCTCCAACCTAGTCAAACATGTTCGAAGCGTTGTTCCACGTTGTCGAAGGAGCTCCCTTGACTTGTACCGATCACCTGATCAGGTGTATCGCCACCAGGAGAAGACCAACTTTGTCAAGGAGACTGGAGAAGAAGAGAGAAAGTCACTGTTGTGTCCAGAGGCCGCGCACCTTTCATCACAAGAAGCTGTGGGGCATCTCTTTATATAGGTGGATTTCAATGGTTCAATGAATTGATGTGTAGTTGAAAGTGCATGCTGATGCTGTTTGTCCTTTGGCGTGCGTCAGCAATTTGCATGCTATGCCGCCCAAGACTCAGCAGGAGTGGGCCAAAGTGAACAACGGCAAGACCGCAGATGAGGTGCGGGTATTTTTGGGCCATGTGTGCTGTCTTTTACTCAGAAGGTTCCCGCCGAGAAGTTGTGGGGAACCCAAGGATCACTGTGGTATGAGTGGTTGTCCCGGCAGTTGTGATACCGGACGGGGCATCTTTTTCTGGACAAAAGAGCGCACAGACACACACACACACACACACTCTGACATTGGTTTTCAGTTAACTCAGTTCCCAAGTCGAGAAGGAAGGCGAGGGAACGGTAAGGCGAAAAGGTCAGCAAAAACAGTATGGTTTAACCTTGTTTTGCAAATGCACTCGACAACGATCGGACACTCAGCGCGGCTGCAAGTCGGCTGCAAGTCTGCGGTGGGAAAAGGTTTTGGGGTCTATCATGAGAACAACCATGGAAACAACGAACAGCAGCAGGGTGGATCATTGGAGTCGGTGTGTTGAAAGCAGTTCCGCGTCCGGAACTGATATCCTCACCATGTATTGCTAGCTTCGTTGATGGAGAAGCAATACAGGTGTCTCCATCCCCTGCTGAAAGTGAGGTGGAACCCTTAGGCACAGGGGGTGACACACACACACACACTTGAGATATTGTGTACTGAACTGAAAGCGGTGCCACACGCCGGCCTGGGGTTCCAATTCCTAAGGGTACACGTATAAACCACTGGATCCTGGAGGTCTTCAAGAGGAAGTAGGGCCCAAAGGGAAAAAGACGAACGACGAACCGATAAGATGACGTCGTGGCGTGCAAGTCTGGGGAGCTCACTAGCACTTTACAAAAGGAAGAAGGGTGGCCGCCAGCTGCGTCTTATAATGCGCCCAGGTGCACCAAGCAGGTACGTTTTCACGACAGCTTGGATGGGTCTTCGTTGGCCCATGCCATCCAAGTGTCCATGGGCCCCCTGCTGGAACAAAGTTAGAAAATAAGAAAGCAAGCCGAGCAAATCCAAAAGGATACCTATGATTCCAAGGGTTACACACACACGCCTCCCCGAGGGGAGGCATCTCTGCCCTAGAGCGTCCTTGCGCCTAGTAGTAAGGCCAGGAACCCCTAGGAGCACCAAAGTAGCATCCTAGTAGTAAGGCCAGGAGCCCCTAGTAGCAACCCACACTAAGGTCCTGACGGGAGGGAGGGGAAGGGAGAGAAGAGAAAAAGAAAGAGAAGAAAGGAAAGGGGAAGAAGGTGTTCCCAGCTACGACACAAGCGTCCAGGGACACACCAAAGGAAGAGAGGAAAAGGGTTCCCAGCTATGACGAAAGCATCCAGGGACACCCAAGGAAGAGGGTAAAGAGAGGAAAGAGAGAAGGAAAGAAAGAGAGAGGGAGAGAGAGGGAGAGGAAAGAAAGGATGGTGTTCCCAGCTACGAACAATCGTCCAGGGACACACCAAAGAAAGAGAGGGGAGATCCTGAGTATTCCATTCAGGAAAACCCCAGAAAGCAAAGAAAGAAAGGGGAAGGGAAGGGGGAGGAGGGGGGACTAAGCTCGCGACAGGTTCCAATGAACCTTGAACAGACTTCGGTCGCTGCGACCACGTACGGCTTGCCCAAGGGCTGCCACCTCTGACCGTTGCGGTCACGTAAAGGCATGAGCCAGCTTGGAATTCCAAAGATGAGACAAAAATCATCGTACGTACGGCCTAGGCCACCTACGCTCGCTGCGAGCTGCTCTGTATCCGGGCAATGGATACGTTCGACGTACACCCGTTCGACGGGTCCACGGGAGGCACTCTGCGGGCTCATCCCGGGTTGGCACGAGGCCAAACACACTTGAGATATTGTGTACTGAACTGAAAGCGGTGCCACACGCCGGCCTGGGGTTCCAATTCCTAAGGGTACACGTATAAACCACTGGATCCTGGAGGTCTTCACCCTTAGGATCCCCAGCTGCCCCTTGCGCAACTGCGGCTCCCCCCGGCAGCTTTCTAGGCGGAAGCTGTCGCTTGTAGGCGGAAGCCCCGGTTCTTAGGCGGCAGCCCCGGCTCTTAGGCGGCAGCCCCGGCTCTTAGGCGGCAGCCCCGGCTCATAGGCGGCAGCCCCGGTTCTTTGGCGGCAGCCCCGGTTCTTAGGCAGTAGGCCCACGGTTTTCAAACAACTTTTGTATGAGTGCCACGGTTTTCAAACAACTTTTGTATCAGTGCTTACCAGACTTGGAAGCGCACACCATGACTCGGAAGTTTCACAGCAAAGGGTTTTTGTTTTCGTTTTTTTAGGACGCTGCTGCGCGCGCGCTCGATCCTCGTGCGTGTTTTGGTGCGTGTGTGTGTGTGTGCCCGTGTGGCTTAGAAAGGCACCGCTGTTTGGAAAAGTTGTCAACATGTCCCGGGCCAGCACTCTAGTTCTCCAACTTTTTTGAACAAAAGGAAGACCCCATGAAAACCATGTTTCCTGTCACCTGCCCTTGACCACCAGCCTGTCCGGCATGCCGTGCTTGGATGATGGGCGGCCTTTTTCCCATGGAGGACTGTCACTCTTGGGCCGCGTTTCGAGTGTCGTGCCAGCGCTGCCCCAACAGAAGCAGCAAACGCTGAAACACGCGAAGCAAAACACTTTGGCTGCTACACTTGGTCGCTATCTTTTTTATAGATGCGAGGTAGGCTTCATCTTGAAAGCATTGCGTGAACCGGGGATTCAACCTGTAGCGCTTTACAGCTTGCGCTGTCTCTTCGAGCGCATGGTGTTTGGGGCGAACCCGCCATCTTTGAAGATGGGTCCGCACACATTCTTCCCTAATTCCTTGCCAATGGATTAAGTGAGAGATCACAAGTTCATAGAACTGTTCAGCTTCCAACGGCGTCATGACAACATCGGCGTTGTCCATCAGAGATATAGCAGACACCAATGCCCACGCACAGCAAGCTCCTGCTTGCAATACCTGGGACGTTGTACCCATGATTTCTGGAGCGTAAACATGGGTGTGTTTTCCATTGTCAAAAAAACGCTTCCCTACTAACACGGCAAAGTAGCTGCATTATCCTCTGCGTATTCAATTGCCTTTTCGGCAACATACCAAAGAACCATCTTGACGTTGGCAGCTTTCCATGAGCTGCCAAGTTCAGGGAAACCCTCATTGAGACCACAATTGGCCTCTGTGAAGATGAGCTTTCGCACTCCGAGCCTAAGCTTTTACCCCCAAACCACCCCAACGCAAAAAGGAATGAATCATACACTATGCGATGAGCCCCGGGCTTTTTTTCCTTGAAGGAGCGGTTCATCATGATGGAGAATTGGCGTAGTCTCTTTTTCACAGGAATGGTGGATGGCCCAAGCACCCCACACTCTAACATATCCGCTATCAAACTGGCAATCAGGTCTCTTGCGGTGCCCAAGTAAATCATGTGCATCCAATCATGCAAGCAGGTTCCCAGAGTCCAACCGGGAACACAATGCCAGGGTGAAATGACCTTGCAAGTCCTCCTGTAAGTAGCATCGTTGATGCGCGTCAAGTGTCTTGGTGCGGACTCCCGGAAATCATGGTACCACATTGATGGGTTTGAATTCTTGGTCGGTTTCTCAGCCAAGCAAGATTCACAAATGCGCATACAGTTGTAGTAGCGATCAAAACAATTTGTCTCAGCCCTTGCCTTGCCGTCATATCGACAGCAAAAATATGCACACCTGCCAACGCAACAATTGAGCAAACCATACCCGCAAAAGCTTCACCAGACGCTGCATGAAGAAGACTAGCTAAAAGGACATCACATAACACAGGCCTCCATGGATGGTCAAATTGTTGACCTTTCCTCCTACCCCTCACAGACTTGTCGCTCAATTCCTCGCCAGAGAAACCAGAAGTTGGGTAGGTTCCTGAAGCACCGAATTCCATGGACCATGCCAGTAGCTTCGCGACTTGTCGGTAAATCTCCACCTGGACCTAAGAACTTCAGTTGACAAGAGCGAACGGCAGGACCTTTTTCCTATGTCATTGCCGATGTCATTGCCTGCGAGCAGCATCTTTGTCCTTCATGCAGGCGACTGGGAGAATTACAAGGGGGAACTTTATGTCCACAACCTGGGCACCATCATGAATCTGAGCACGCTCTTTGATAGAAACCACAAACCCTGAAACAAATTTGGTCTAAGTATCGTCCCCGGCTGCCAGTAGTGAGCTCATGCTCCACACCATATACTCAGAGTTTCTATAGAACTCTGCCCCATCCACGTGAAATGTGATAGGGATTGCACCTTGCGTCAACCAGCTACCAAACACTCTCTGGGTCTTTAGGGCTGTGTTTTTTTTGCTCACCACTGACAGCTGAGTGGCAGACGGTGTCTAGGGGCAATCTCGCGAAGAAAGACTGGGTGATCAGTCCATTCTGGGAATTGAAGGAAATGATCCCATAGTTCGCCAAGCGCTTTTGAGCTTTGTCCACCCAACATCGATTTCATAAACTGCCACGCGCACCAAGACTGTTTTGTTTCGTTTGTTTTGCGAAAAAGGCAGGACAATACTCAGCGCTTCAACAGCTGCACCTGGTCGGGGCCGGCTCTAGCCACTGAATCTAAGATTTCATGGGGCAGCAAAACAGGTATGTTGACAGTCTCCAGTTCTTCAGAATCGATCACCTGAGCACACTGTATGTAAATCTCCGCAGAAGGTTGCGCGTCAATCAGTTTTGCCAAGTATTCACACAAAGTATAAGAAGTAAGGGCATGACCTGTAATTGCATTGGGGCGCTATAGGTCTCCAGTGATATGTTGTGATGATCCCTCAGCCATCTATGGAGATCCCTCTCCTCGTTCTGCGGGTGATTTCCATAGGACCCCAATGACGCGAAAGCTTCGATTACGTCGGGAACCTTGGCATCTTGCCGTTGAGCTTGAGCTATGCTCACCACTGTTCTGATGTTCGACTGGCCTGATCCAATCATACCTGGCGTTGGAGCTTGTGAAAGAGATTTGGGAGAGTTTTGTCAAAAGCTTGCGAAATAGATGTGCGAGAGTTTTGTCAAAGGCTTGCGAAAGCACACCCTCACTAGACAGGCTGAGACACGTATGAACAAGTCAGCTTGGTGATTT